ACAGTGAAACCCCATCTCTACTAAAAATACAAAAAATTAGCCGGGCGTGGTGGTGTGTGCCTGTAGTCCCAGCTACTTGAGAGGCTGAGGCAGGAGAATCGCTTGAACCCGGGAGGCGGAGGTTGTAGTGAGCTGAGACTGTGCCATTTTACTCCAGCCTGGGTGACACAGCGAGACTCCGTCAAAAAAAAAAAAAAAAAAAAAAAAGGGAAACGGACTTTCCCTGAATAAAAGGGAGAAGGTAAAAGAGAAGTTGAAGGAGCAAGTGTGCAGCCTTAGGAAGTAGAGAGTTCCCCATCACTGGTGTTCCCAATAACTTGCATCAGGTATTCCCTATAACTTGTTCCCTGTAACTTGGATTCACTGGTCTCTATTTTGCCTCTTGGACCACAAAGTTCAAGGCCAGTTTGTCTTTCACACCACAGTTTTTCAAATCCTCAGTGAGCAATGAGTCCATACTCCATTACAGTGAACGGGGATTGGAACGTGGACTGGGAGGCAGAATGTGTAAACTTTAAAGATCCTTTCCATCTTGATTCTGTGATTCATGAGTCTAAGTTTATTTAAAGACAGCAAGTATCCCCTAAAAAAATATGAAGAGATAGGTTCTTTGCAAAGTGATTCTTAAGCTGGTTTTCACTTCAAGCTCAGGACACCACCCAATCACCATTGATCAACTATTTTGGAGACAAAATTTGTTCCCTATAACTTGCATTCGTTGGTCCCTATTTTGCCTCTTGAACCACAATACTCAAGGCCAGTTTGTCTTTCACGCCACAGTTTTTCAAATCCTCAGTGAGCAGTGCGCGCATACCCCTACTCGCCTTCTCCCTGACAAGCACCAGGTCTTCTCGTTCCTTAAGAAGAATTGCTTGTTGGCAGTGCCTGTCAATGAAGTCCTTGCTCCCACTCCAGCTGCTGTTGTTTATAATAAGCTAGGCAGCATTTTATGGCACGTGTTTTAATAGGCATAGCCTCATTAATTTGAAATGGACCTACACTGGGCTGAGTTTATCTTTGTACTAACTAAAAGCAAAAAGAGTTTGCTAAGCATATTTATTGTCTTAAGATTAACAGAGCAATGTTTAAGCTTCTTATGAGAAGTAACTGTTTCAAATACCCTTAAGCTCTTTTAAAAAATTACTAGGTCACTTACAAATCCATCCTACCATTTCACTAAGACAAGTGATTAAAGGACCACCTCCAGGTAACTTTATTAGTAATTTCTTGTTTGCTCTTTTATGTAAAACTCCCTTCTTAAATGTATTTCACTCCCAGGAACACAAGGTAGGTAAGAGTGGGTGGGCTTATGAGGGGGGTGTGGTTTGGGGAAGGAAATGGCTTCCTTGGGTTTGGTGCTCAAATGCCTTATTACCATGCAATTTACCTAGATGTGTGCAGTGAGCTGAGAGTAGTTAAGGCAATACAGAGTTGGGAGCATCAGTGGCAAACTGGAGAAACCATCCCCTCCCAAGCCATTTATACTTCTGCAAAGGAGTTGGATTTTATTGGCAGATAGCCATTTGGTGATGCTCTTCTTAAACACTGAATTACAGTCTTGCACAGGAGATATGACTAGGTGAGCTTATCAGAAATTCAGGGGTATACTAACAAGATCTCAAAAATGTGTAGGGAGATTGGGCCACTTGACACGGCACTGTGGGCAAGGAAAATGAATCACAGATGCATTAACAGAACGTATGATGAGATCTTTGAAGGAATACATTTACATAAAGATGCGAGTAAGGTACCCAGAGCTTTGGGTATTTTGTCTAGATCATTCAGGTTGAAAATGGGTCATGAGAGATAGAAATGGAAGGATAAAATGAGCTGCATATGTTTAAAGGCAGGGCTGTGCCTGGCAGAGGAGCTGATTAAGAGGCATAATGACATGTGCTCATTTAGGGTAAGTAATGGAAGGAACTTCAAGAGATGCCTGTTCACAGGACTGAAGGCAAGTGGGACTGAAAGGGTATAATGAGATGTAATGAGAGAAGGGAAGGGGGAGCACTCTCCTGGGGCTCAGGTGTGATGACTCAGACACACAGAGGCAAGACAGGAGATGTCTGATTTGAAAGGGTGGACTACCAGAAGGGCATAATCCGACAAGGTGCAAGGGAGCACAGTGTTGGCGGGCCCAGGAGAGGAGAAGGATCCGCCGAGAGGAGCAAGAGGGGCCAGGCACTAGGAATGAACTTTAAGGTGATATCTTCTCCAAAAAGCCAGCCAGTGTCTTCAAGTATTTGAGCCACAGTTTTTGTAAAGGATATAGAGGAGACACAACTCCTTCCTTCTGTCTTTTCTTTGGACAGTAGCAGAGAAAACGGGCTATTGTGCAGCAAGAGCCTGGAAGTAAAGATTTCTTAACCATGTGGGAGAGGGATGAGGGCCGTCGGAAAATGTGCTTGTCTTGTAACTTTGAGGTTTCATAGGATCTTGGAGACTGGGTGAGTAGGCTGGGCTGATTGTGGAAGTCAATGACTTGAAGTTAACATTCACAGCCTGGAACCAAGTCTCCCCATCTTGTCCTCCCTGCAACCTCACCCGGCATCCCCTGTGGCTACCCACTGAGGGCCTGGCTCCGGGGCTCTGTACCTGCTACCCCGGCCCTGCTTTCCTCAGCAGCTCTGCCGTCCCAAGTTGTCATCTGCTCTGAGAACACCAAGGTCACCCCCTTGCTAACCTGGTAACTAGTCTCATATAATTAATGGTGGAAAAGGAATTCCAGTCCCATCTAGGTAACACAGGAATTTAAAATACTCAAGTTTCATGCAGAGGAGGCTCTGAATCACCATTTTAGTAAAAAGGGAAAATAAAGTTCTTTTTCTAACTGAATTTTCGAGTTACAATTTAAGCCTGTTTCCTCCTGCAAGGTGCTCTGTGGATGGTTAACTTGTCAACATAATATTCAGTTACCTGGACAAGGTAAGTGCCTCACATCTTAGTTTCTATTTCTTTTAATACTAGCACCAACAGCTATTCCCCTGTTAACCTTACTCTTCTAAAGTATAACCTGGGAACTTGCAGAACATTTAAATATTTTCTACTTAATAGCTGCACAATCACAGATCCTGGGGGGTGCAGCCACGTGGCCTGTCTAGACAAACTCTCCAGGTGATTCGGATGCAAGCTCAAGTCTGAGTCACTGTTTTAAAGTTTACAGCAAAGGGTTAAAAGCACCTGACCAATATTAAGCAAAGTGGATGAGCTCATTCTGACTCTTCCATCCCTTAAGCAATTCTATGTAAGGAAAGACAGGACCTGGTGCTTGAAGGGAAGTAGGGTATAGACTCACTGCTAAGGATTCAAAAAACTCTGCTATTAATAGGTCAGGACTCTGTCCTGGAAAAATAACATAAAAGCATGAATGTATGAGATGTAGGACAAAAGAAGCCACTTGATGTTTACTGAGTGTGTACGATTTGCCAGTCACTGCCTTTACACGTCTGGTTCTGCCTAGTTCTTAAAATATGAGGCTGTAACGACTTTGCCAGATGAGGAAACCGTGCTCGGAGATTAGGTAATTTTCCTAAGAACGCAGATGGTAAGTAATGGATGGGCTTTGAGCCCCAATCAAAGCCAAATGTCTTTTTCTCAAAAGACGATGATTCCTATGGAAGAGTCATTAGTGACAAAATTCATAGATAGAAAAAGTATCCAACATTACTGTGGCATCTTTATTCTTTTAAAATCACACAGGTCATATTTAATACCGCCCAACTCTTTTGTTTTTTTGAGACAGGGTCTCACTCTTCACCCACGCTGGAGTGCAGTAGGGCAATCACAGCTCACTGCAGCCTTGACCTCCTGGGCTCAATCTATCTTCCCACCTCAAGTAGCTGGGACTACAGGTGTGTGCCACCATGCCCAGCTAATTTTATTTTTTTGCAGAGATGAGGTCTCACTGTGTTGCCCAGGCTGGTCTTGAACTCAGGCAATCCTCCTGACTTGGCCTCCCAAAAGTGTCAGGATTACAGGTGTGAGCCATCACACCTGGCCTGCCTTCACTGGTCGTTTCTGATCCAGGTATGCCATCTTGCACTTTAATCTCCTTGGTTTAGTCTGGAAACAGCACCTCACAGTTGCTTAAACATTGCAGTGAGACTGAAACCTAGTTTCAGACCATCATTTTACATTTCACTAGAGGCAAATAGGGCGAGTTTGCTGGGCCTGTTTCCTTTGCCCTTGGACTATTGTTCTTATCCCCACCCAAGGAGTCAGATCTGGAGCACAACCACAGGCCTTCCCACTCAGCTCATGGATGAAGATCTTCCATCAGTGCAGGCCCAACAGCACCTTCTCCCAGGAGCTCCCAAGCCATGTGCCAAGCCCTACAGAAATGACGAATAAACCCTCCGGACCACATAGAATTATAATCCAAACAGACCTTTTTAGCTTTTTTGTTCACCGGCATATTATGTGGCATCGTCTTATCCTAGTCCAAGAATTCTAGAATCCGTAGAAATGTTGAACCAAATAAAAGGAAGAAACTCTACCGTCAGCTCTCAATTAGCTGCACCGCTGGAGAGGAACAGTGACGTGGAGGATTAAAAAAATATTGGTTCGGTTTGACTTTGGAATGCATTGATTTTTTTTCAGTAGATTAACTTTTCTAATTCTATTTTGCACAGCCTAGTATTAACAGGCATTTGTATTCCCTGAGCACACAACATCTGACATTGAGAGCTGGGAGATGCTGTCCAAAAACGCGCTGGTCTCAAAGAACAATGTTATGAAAAATCCACACGTGGATAATGAAGAGGAAACTAATTATGAAGTGCTCTGCAAATATTAAATCATAAACAGAGAAGGCAAAATAGTAATTCTCTATAGACATGTGGACAGAGTAAAAAAGTTTATTAACATTCTGAAAAGGACGGAAATTTTCAAGAATCATTAGTGTTAATGAAGCTTGATGAAAAAATTAGGATGCAAGGCAGGTCAATGAATTATTGGGTAGTCTTTTAAATAAGCAAACCCCAAGCAATAATACCAAAGCGTTTTAAAAGAGCGTTTAAAATGAATTTTATTGTTTGAATTTTACAAGTAGTCTTTAGAGGCTTCAAACAAGAACTCTGTTGCAAAACTCTAATAAATAGCTTGCCCCAAGTCCCCAAACAAAATGTAAAACAAAATGAGAACTAAACTCAGAAGGATAAGCAAGACTTCAGAATGCTTGGATGTTAGCAATATTTCTCATTTACAAAGAGATATCAGGCAATGTACAATCTCCTTCATACAAGTCAAAGAGAGAAAGAGACAGACAATTGAAATCTTTACAAAGCACTCCGAAATCTTCCTATTTCCATGATAGAAATGTCACCAGAAAAAAAAAAAAAAAAAACAAACCCATGGAGAAATCACAATCAATAATGAAACTAGCATAAAAATCCGGTAGTGGATGTAGCGGGGAGAAGAGAGGAAAATCCATCCTGTTTCTTTCAGGGATGGAGAGAGGAAGGAATTGAGATTACTTGAGGGAGGGAACTTCCAAGCAGATGCCGCTAGAGTGCTGAGTGTTCCCTTAGACCAGAGTTGCCACTGAAAGGGCAGAGGGGTCAGTTTAGTGACAGTTATGAAGGCAACAAACAAAGGGGTCTCCTCAGGTCAGTCAGCACTGGTCAGCCCCATGTCTTTGTGCTCTACAGCAGTGAGGGCCTTGGAACAGTGACCCAGTGGCCTGAAGCGGCCTGCATCACAAGACAGGAAAAATAGCACATCAATAATTTCTGCAGCAGAATCCTTTGGATGCCCACAAAAGGATGCAGAAAATGCCGTGCTGAAATTTCACACTGGGACATGCAGATTTCAAAAGCCCATTCTACTATCACAGTCATTGCTCCTAACAAGCAAGGATTAAAATTCACAAGTAAACATTCACTGTTAGCTTTTCCTAGTTACAAATACTGGTGAAGTCTTGCTCTAGAGAGAAAGATTAATTTAGTGATATGGTCATTTTGAGCAAGCTAGAAAACCAGTTGCATCACATTTTTATCTTTAAAACGACATCATAGTTTTGACCAAAATTCATTCAAAATGCATACAGATAATAAGTTTTTAATTTGTGGGGAATTCTGAAATCAATTAATGTTTGGAGCCAGGAAGCTGCAGAGAGGTTGATTCCAATTTAGTGGGGCTCAATTAAGCCAAACATAAAGAGAGTCCTGCAGCAAAAGTGGGACCATCTCCCCGGGAGAAGCAGGAAGTGACCTCACAATGTGGGACTGGCAAGGGGTGTGGCCTGCAGGCACTGTCAGAGCTGCTCTGGTTTACTGACTTGCTGATACTAACCCCGATCCTGCTGATCTCTGGAGGACAGATACAAACAGCACTAGCTCATGCACGAGTCATTCAAGGGAGGTAGGCATTTTCTCAAAGCAACTCCCTCTCCAGGCATTTTAGGGAAGAAGGTAAGGAAATATTCCTCTCTACTCCTCAAACAAGTTAAAAAAACATTCTTTTTCTAGGAATAATGACATTTGTTAGGATAACAAGGGAAAGCCTGGGTTACCTGAAATTGATAAGAAAGCGAATGGGAATAGAGGCAGATGGGCCAGGGAGCACCCTGGTCCAAGGCCCAGTTTCTTCTTAAATACATAACAGATAAAGATATTGTGCAAAAAAATAAAGACATTCACATTTTAGCAGTTAAACTTTTATTTTACTTTTTAAAATTTTTATTTACTTTTTTTTTTCTTTTCTACAAAAGGCAGGTGATGATTGTTGATCTGCAACTGTTGTGTTGTGCACTGCCCGAAAGGGGGCGGAGTAGGATGCTGGGGAAGGTGCTCTGAGGATGCTTTCTATGGTGGGATCAGGGCTGCAGGACACGGGCTGGAGGAGTGTCCGGGCCCTTCTCCTGTCCTCCTCAGCCTTCCCTAGCTCATGTCTATGGTGTTGAAGACCCATTCCGTGAACTTCTTCAGCTTGTCCGAGGCGTTCTGGGACTCCTCCTGCAGCCTCAAGTTGTCCTCTCGCAGGTGCTGCACTTCTGCCTGAAGGTGTGCTTTGTCTTCTTTTTCCTGGGAGGGAGAGTGAAGTGGAAAGGAACTAGGAGGTGGGGCCCCACCTTGCCCAGCTCCTCTGAGAAGTAGCTATGGACCTGTTTTGATCTTTTGCCCATTTCTATTCTTTGTTCCTCCAAACACCTGTCTAAACGGCCTGGTACCAGGTACTAAGACACTCTAAGCTCAGGGAATGGGGCTTCTAGAGAGATTCAACCCTGCAGGATTAGCTGTAAGTAATCCTGGAATGTAAGTAGGTACATTAATGTATATTCCAATGTCCTTGTTAGTCAGGACTGTCTTAAATTTTAGACAACTCTTTTGGTGGCTGATGTCTTGATATAGTCAAGGCCACCCAAGAAACAAAACACTCAGTTCTCTTGGTGCAAAAGCCCCAGTAACACCGACTACATGGGAGTCTGGGCTACTGACACATTATACAAGGAGTAGGGTGGCAAGGAGAGGACCCAGATGGGCTGGCTGAGGTTCAAAGCCTTTCACAAAATAGTGAACAGCTTTTCTGTACACCTGACGCCGAATGCTGTGTGTTCCAGTGGCAACTGAGATCCCCGCAGCCCTGAACACGTGCAGGCAGAGGGAAGACACCTATATCTTACTTCACTACACTACTTAAAAAGGACTCTCATGGTTCAGGGGCAGATTGCACAGACTGGGCAATTTGCTTTGAGAATACGTGTTTACCTTCTTCAAATCTTCCCGAAGCATCTTCAGCATACCTTCCAGCTGGTCCACTTTAGAAGCCAGAGTGGGAGAGGAGTCTTTACTGCTGGGAACAACAAACAAAAGACCATGTTGGCAGGGGCCTCTATGGCTGTTTTTTTTTAATTTGAGGAGGCTGTATTTATACAATGGTTTTCAATGTCAAATTACTCAGAATGGCGACCCAATGTGTATTTTTACTTTAAAAAAGAAAATGGTAATCTTTTTTTTTTTTTTTTTTTTTTTTTGACGGAGTTTCACTCATGTTACCCAGGCTGGAGTGCAATGGCGCGATCTCGGCTCACCACAACCTCCGCCTCCTGGGTTCAGGCAATTCTCCTGCCTCAGCCTCCTGAGTAGCTGGGATTACAGGCACGCACCACCATGCCCAGCTAGTTTTTTTGTATTTTTGGTAGAGACGGGGTTTTACCATGTTGACCAGGATGGTCTCGATCTCTTGACCTCGTGATCCACCCGCCTCGGCCTCCCAAAGTGCTGGGATTACAGGCTTGAGCCACCGCGCCCGGCCTGAAAATGGTAATCTTAACAAAAGGTAATACAAGCTTGAACTACAGCCAATCAATAGCTTCCTTTGTTAAAGATGCTGCATCTTCACGACAAAAGAATAAAGGACAATAGTGAAAATGCAGCACAAGAGGTACTTTCTGGCAGACACAATAGACAGTAAAATGATTCCCCGGGAGGCTCTGGGATCTCTCTGGTGGGCTTTAAAAAAGGAGTTAGTCCTCTGTGTGTGGGAAGGAAGCTGGGGAGGTGATGTGATAGGGCAGTCATCTCTGGTCCCCAAGTGTGGTCTTGGCTACTCATGCAATTGCAGCTAAGGCATCATGCCTACATCTTAAACCACTGGTCTAAGCATCTTGTTGGCCTAGCCTTAATGTCTTAAATTCTGTGCTAGTCTGATCAGAAAACAATTTTCTTCTCGTTTTCTCACCTTTTGTTTATGGCATGCTAATGATGCCATGCTAGTGGAGTACCGAAAGAAGCATGAGCAGGGGATGGCAGGCCAGCCAGCTAGCCAGACAGATGGCACGGCTGGGCACACTCTCACCCCAGGGTCCTATGGCTGAGAGACTGAAAACTTTTCTTGCCACATTCTCCTCTACCTGAATTCAAGCTGCCAAAAGTTTCCTGATTCCTAGCCAAGCCATACATCCTCTGGGGTACACCACAGAGAACCCAAAGTCTTTCAACGGGAAAACATGCAGCAGCCTCTTTCCAGTGCCGAGGGGGAAGAGCTAAGTGACTGAATTTTCTGGGTCATGGAGTAAAAGGTATTCTTTACCTTAAACATCAAGGTTCACGTTAGAATTCCCAACCTCATATGAGCTGTGTTGATGTCTTCTGCTAACTGTAAGTCTACAACAGACCCCAAAGGGCAAAACCCACTGTGTTGCAGAATGTGGCAAGGCTGTGGGCCGATAGAGTGACCATGACCTCCAAACTCTAAGACGGGGTCCAATGAAAGGCTAACAATGAATGGGTTTTAAAAGGGACATGGTCAGCTGCAATCCATAACTGCACAATATAGTACAGCAGGCTGGTCCGATTTTGGGTGGGCTGAAGGCCACAGACGTGGTGGAAAAGGGGCGGTGCTGGACAGATACAAAGAGGCTGGGGCCGGGCAGCACTAGTGTCTTTCGCAAAGCCACTGCAGCTCATCAGGACTGCAGCCGTGCTTAGGAGCATTCCGCTATTCACCTCCATTTGCATTTGTTCAGTCCACGGTGACCCAAGAAAAGAGCCCATCATCATCCTCATCTGCTGATTTTTTTAATAATCCTTTTTCGGGAAAATAGTCTTGGCTCCCTCAGACTTGTCTTTCTTGGAGGCCCCTTCCTAACAAGGCACATTTGGGGCTCTCCTCTGACTCTGGGATATGTATTTAAAAAATTCTCAGTAGTCAACCTGATTGCTGCCCTCCTCACCCCAGCAGTGCCAGTGATGAGTGAGTGCACCATCTCTCCTACACTCATAACAAATAATCAGCTACTCTTGTGCCTTCTCGCTGAGAGCGCTTCCTTGCAGGCTTGTTCAGGGAAGTCCTCAAGCACAAGCCCCACAGTTTGTGCCATTTACTTCAGCTGCCTTTCCTGTTCTTGTCCGTTTCTGACCAAGTTTTATAGATACCTGGAGTTTTAATCACCCTTGAAAGGTTTTTTGTTTTTTTTTTTTTCTTTTTTTTTCTCTTGAGACAGTCTTGCTGTGTCACCCAGGCTGGAGTACAGTGGTGTGATCTCGGCTCACTGCAACCTCTGCCTCTGCCTCCTGGGTTCAAGTGATTCTCATGCCTTGGCTTCTCGAGTAGCTGGGACTACAGGTGTGCACCACCACACCTGTAGTGTGTTTTTGGTAGAGACGTTTTGGCATGTTGGCTTCAAACTCCTGAGGTCAGGCAATCCACCTGCCTCGGCTTCCCAATGTGGTGAAATTACAGGCATGAACCACGGTACCCGGTCTCAACAGGTTTTAAGGGAAGAGATTTCAAATGAATGAAACAAGAAGTGTTTATGCAACAAGAAGTGCTTACTAAATGCTCCACGCCTGACTGATGGGATGCTTTAACATACGGAAATTAGCATACATAAATCCAGCAACCTCAAAGAGTCAGTCTCTCCATAAATAGAAGTTGTAAAGTCCCTGGCTCCTGACTCAGAAGAAAGCCCTCAGGACCTCAGTTATTGCCTACTTTTCCTCTTCCATACCATCTTAACATATCCTGGCGATTTAGCTTTCCAACACACAGATGTGAAGCAGCACACTGGGAGCCACTAAGACTCAGCAAGCACGTGTACAAGCATGACCATCAGCGACACAGAGGAAGAGTCCAAAAACTCAGACTGCAGCACGACACAGCACAGAGCTTGGGGACACTTACAGCAAATGGTCTCTCCTACCTGACCCAACGGGCCCCGGGGGCATAAATGTATTATGGCATTAAATAATGTATATTCATAATTATGGCCATATGAATCATCAAGAATAGATTAATTATGTCTGCAGTATTTAGTTACAAAGGATTCTGACTAAAATGTCAAGTGTCTTGCCCTGCAGTGATGAGCTTCCCTCAGCTCCTCCGTGTGGCTTCCATCTCCCCTCCCCACAGCTTCGGTCACTGGCAGGTGTGACACAAGGTGCAGATATATAAGGATACACAATGATATAGACTGCCCTCGCATGGGGGACCAACCTGCTGTAAGGCTTCATCTGGGCCAGAGCCTGTTCCTCCAGCTGATCACTGTTGGATGCAGCACTCAAGGGACGATGGTTTTCATCACTAGCAGCAAAAAAAGAGGCTCTCTGGACTGGAAAGGAGAGAAGAAACCATTTAGTATTGGAACCACATCCCTGGGCCCTATCTATCAAAGTCAACAAGTGGTCTAGTGGGCAGTCATGTCTAGTATTTCCAGCGCATCCTGCACTGGAAATCTTATTTCCCAACGCTCACAAGGAAAAATAGGACTGTTTTAGCAATAAGAGGATTGTAGCATAGTAATTTCCCTTTAAAAAACATTTGTGAGTCAATTTCTAGTTCCCCGTTTTCCCTGCTCATCAAAGTAGCATTCTATGAAATGTTTCTCTGAAAACAGGCCTTGTGCCAAATTTCCAGACCAAAGCTTTCCACTCAGCAATGATATAAATGCATTTGAGAGATAGTATTATGCTTCTGAAAACTTCTTGAGGTATGTTTTCCACAAGATTCCTGGCTACTCTGGTTAGCTTTAACATAAATCCATACCACCTGTGTTCCCAAACATATCAACTTAAAATTTAAGCCAAGAAAACACAATCAAATTTAACATTAAAACCCAAAACTTCTACCATTTGTATAGGAAGGAGATTGACCAACACATTGAAAAATCAAGTTAGAACTGGGAATTTCCATCTGCTAAATAAAGGGCATGAAGGTAAAAGGATTCGCTGCTGACCACTCCATGGGTGCCTGACTTAGACAGATTCTGTGGCCTGGTAAATTCCCCTCAAAATTAAAACTTGACTAAATAGCAATTCTCAATTCTCCCAATTAAGAGCAACAACAACAAAAAGCAAGAAAAATCACCTGCTATCATAATTTTGTAAAGAATGTTTAAAAACTAGAAATTTTAGAAAGATCTTTAGACTTAAGAAAAAAGTCTTCATTATACATAGGTGTCAAAAAAGAAAAGAAAAAAAAACCCAGCTGACAATCTTATGTCAACACACATATACTGCACTACTTTTGTGTTTTCATGACAGTAGACAACATCATCACCAGTGTGAGCACCTGCATTTAAGAACCACCAGTGTAATGCGAGCACATGGCTGGTAGGCTGGCAGAGACAATGCTGGCAGACAACGTGTTACCGCAAGCGGAGAGACAAGGAGAGGGGCGAAGGAGGTGCCCCACATTTGTCAGGATAGGCGCGGGGCCAAGCAGGACAAGCACTGTGATGTATCTGACTGCATTTAGCAACAATGTCTGCGACGTGATGAAAGACCCTCTCTGGATACATGTTCTTTTCAGTCAAGGGACAGCTGGGATTCCTCTGCCCGCTGCCCTTCCCATATACGGAGGAGGCGAGGTATTCATGTTATGAATCCTGTGGAGGAAACACCAGGTGGCATCTGATTACATAAGACGTGCCTAGTGTCCAGTCTAGGGTTTGGTCCCTACTGAGTGCTCAGTAACTGGTAGCTTGTCTGGTGAGGCACCTATGTTGTAAGTGTGTCCAGAGAAGCAGAGTGGACAGAGACTGCTCACTCCGCCAGCCCACCACAGGGTGGCTCTGCAGGATCCTGGACCGCCCTGTTGGATTCAGTGGACTCACCCTCATAGGCTTTGGCAGCATCTACCAGGTTGGACCAATCCAAGTCGGCAGCAGCATCAGGCAGGGGCATCAGGCCAGGGTCCGGCATAGGCTGCCTGCGGGTCTCCTGGATGTCGGTGAGGGAGCTGTCTGAGGCCGAGAATTCTCCTGCAGAAGGGAGGAGCAACAAGATGCTTCTCGTGCCTGTGGGAAAGCCACTCAAAACCCGCCTACTTCCTGTTACCACAATAGATTTGTAAGCCATTTACGACTGTCATCAATGTCCAGTTTAGCCGGCTGTTAGTGGTCATTTGAAAGCTGAGTTGAAATACGCATGGGCCTCCTCTAGTCTGTCTTCATTTTCTTACAGCCTCCCATCATCTCCCTTCCAGCAGTGAGTCATGGCAAAGTTAGTTTTGCACTGAGGCACTAAGTCTGCTTTTGTGAGCGGTGTGTCCACAGCAGGGCCCGGGCAGTGCTGGTTCTGCTTTCCCACACAGAGTCCAGGGATTTGGGCTGGGAAGAAGGGGCCTACTTCAGCAGAGAGCTGGACTTTGGAGCCAGGCCAGGGATGTTTCTTCCTATTAGAGGGGACAATAAGGCTTATTTTTATCTGGCCTGGGAGTGGTGAGGGACAGATGGCCCATGCCTGCCTGTGTACTATTCAGGAGCAGCCCACTGGGTTTCATGGTCAAAGGTATCCAAGCGGGTGTGAGAGGCAAATCAGGGGATGTGAGTGTGCCGGGTTCCACAGACAGAGCTAAGACAGGAAGGTGATTTTAGGGATGGAACTGGCATTATTCTTCCCAAGGATGTGGTCCTCACGAGGTATTCTTTGGATCAGTTTTGGGTTGCCGCAGTCTAACATCCCGAGCTCTTCCTAAGGGGACAATTTGTTGAATACAAATACTAAACAAATGTTAACAAGAAACTGACATCTTACCAACTAAGCTCTGCTTAGCCTGGGGCAGGGAGCAGGGAGGACTGGGCAGTGAGCCACCCTGTGCCACTAAAGGCAGCTGCTACTGCTCAGGTTTGTGCAGCCAGACAACAGGAAGGGTGGCATGCTGGGGGCCAGGGAAAGCGTTGCTCATGACATGGAAATGCCCTCCATGGGCAGAAGCTGGGTGAACCAAGGGCAGAGCACACTACCCCATAAGAGGGAGCACCCTCGGAAGGTGACTGCAACACTCAGGTCCATGCAAACACACAGCTAAAGCTAAATGCTCAGCTAGAATATTTAAGTGACTTTAAAAAGACCTGTTTACAAGGAGTTAGAAAGTCTCATGTATTAAGACAGCCCAGTAAGCTAGTATATTAAGTGCTTGTTTTCCCTTTCAAATTACAAAAACTGCTCTGAAATACAGCTGCTAGTTGTTACTGGGCTTAAAAGTAGCAAAATTATGAGTAAATGGAAGTTAACAAATACTGCGAAATATTAAATGTTCAGTTTTAATTAAATGTGCTCCCACCAAGGGTAAGTAGGAGGAACAGATAATTCTGTTGTCACTCACAACCCTTTTGCCCTTTTATCTCTGGGGTCCAAATTTCCATGTGGGGGATAAAAGAAGTCACCCTTCCTCATTCCCCAAACACACTTCAGTGGAAGTCGCCAAGCAAGGCAGGGCTGAAGGATCAGCCCAATGAGGACTGCTTGGGTAGGATGTGAAATCACTGCAGCTGCCGCCTCATTCAGGAAAACAAGAAAAGGTGATGGCAAGGGGCTCAGAGAGGGCTGCAAGGTTCCTTCCTTCAGCGGTGGACTCACATGGGGCTTTTGGTCCCCGGAATCCTCGTCTGGACAATGATCATGTGTTGGGGGCAGATTTCTGGGCTGCTCTTTCAGAATGTAGGCTTCTACTACTCAGGGCCTACTCTGACATGACACATGCAGAGAAGACTTCACAAAGGGGCTACTGTTTTTACACTGCAAAGGTAAAATTAAAAGTACAGGAAATACGAGAGCAATCAAAGTAAGGCAGGAAATTGTAGAAATAATGGAATTCAGGGAAGAGTGACCCCAATGCGGGGAGAGAAGGAGAGAACAAGGTTAAGGGCAAGAGATCACTTCCAGAAGGCTTGTTCTGGAGTCTGATGATAAAACGTGGTCATTTCATGTGCCAACCGTGGTTCATTCGAGGTGACTTCCTGGAGCAAAGAGAACCCAGATTTAAGCTGCAGGTAGATAGGGGAGGGAGCAGGGGAAGCTGGCATGATCCTTGCATGATTCCTCCCAGGGATGAGCAGGATGGGTGGGAGTGTGCTGCTGAGCAGTGAGCAGGGCAGACAGGGAGGAACATCCATGAGCATGGACTGAGAGGTCAATTATAAAGCAGGGAAAGCAAGAGATGTAAAGAAAATACCGTTCCAGAGAAGCAGCAGAAGGAAAAGAAACATGGGTATGAATGGACACCAGAGATATAAAAGCTGCAGAACTCGCAAAAGGAAAAAGGACAGATGGGAGGCAGGGTGACAGCAGCGTGTTTGGTAAATAATCAGAACACCGGTTCGTGACAGGCATCTGCTGTGCTGGGCCACAGCTGTGAGGGGATGTATAGAGCCCTGGAATGGAGTGGGACAGAGACAGGACAAAGGGAAAGACCAAATTTAAATCCAGAGTCCCAGAAAATGGCCCGTAATAAAACTGGGATTTAGTTGGGTCACAAAGCAAACAAGGCATATGTGGACCAGGTGCAAGAATATGGAGGTACCCCTTATCCACAGGGCTTTTCCTTACATAATGCTTGCCTGGCTCACTGCATGAGTAAATGAGTCAACAAATGAGTGCTTGACACCACAGGCAATTTTCTTACAGTCTGGGAAAGACCAAGAGCAATGGCAAGTCTGGGTTCTTATGGTGGCTATAGAAAGCAGTGGATACAACTCTCTATGAAATAACTAATCTAGTGCTAGCCAAATTCGCTCAATCATAACAGCAGTGGCATGGTTGCTAAGAATATCAATTCCCAGCCTACTCTTTTGGGGATTCAAATTCAGTGGGTCCTGGGTCCAGTGTGGGACTCTGTTATTTCTAGCAAGCAACCCAGGTGACTATGGCGGTATGGGATTACAGGGGAGAGAGGGCTAATAAGGGAGGGGCAGGTGCGCCGAGACCATCTGAGCATGGATACAGGACCCCTCTCTGAGCACACTGAGTGGCAGCCACATCTGGGGACACTGACCATCATCAACAGGGCTGTCCAGGCTGCGGCTGAAAGACCACTTACCATGCAACGACTTCATTCCTAAGGTGTAAGAAGGCCTTCTCAACGGGAGAGACTTGGGGAGAGAAGGGTACGTGCTACTGAAGAGGACGTCGTTGGGCAAGGCTTGGTCCAGAAGTGAAGCCCTCGAGGTGAAAAAGTGCTCCCTCTGGCCACTGTAAATGCTCTCGTCCGACAGTGTTCTGTGCAAGGCCCGCCGCGAGGTGGGGGTGCTGGGGAAAGGAGACTGAGGAGAGGAGAGTGCGTGGAACTGAAAAACAGCATCGAGACAAAAGAAAGTCAATTTTTTCGTTCAGATCCCTGAGACCAAGGTTGGGGGAGGGTGTGATAACCAAGTTACTGCTCCCGACACACCTCCAGCAAGGCAGCTTCAGGGCCCATCATGTATTTCTACATCCGCAAGGACCAAGAGTTCCTGGTCATTATTCCTCATAGCCTGGCATGCTGCCTGCGGTCTATCAGTGCTCCCTATGTGATTCAGGTATGTGATTAAGTGGACCTATCAAGACCGTATGTGGTTAAAAACAAGACTTTAAGATCAGACAGATGTGAGTTTTATTTGAATCCCATGTCTTTGACCAAATCATACAATCTCTCTGAGCCTAATTCCTCATTTGTAAAACGGGAGCACAAAACCTCTCAGGATTACCGCAGGGATTAAACAAAATGCTGGGATGAGGACAATGGCTGGTGTCAGCGGCATGATGAAATGATGTTATGGCTGGGAGAACAGACAGCCACAGTGCCAGGAGGTATCCTGACAAGCTTGTCAGATGATAACATGCTTGCTGGGTAACAAGGGTATTTGATCATCAAAATACATTAACTCACATAGCAGGTAGCACTTGATTAACTACTAACTTAAACCAACTGAACCTATCAAGGTAGATACATTTCATGAGTTTTGGAGAAAATTTATTTCTTGAAGATGCACTTCTATTCATGAACTAAGAATAGGGTAGGCTGAGCGTAGTGGTTCATGCCTGTAATCCCAATACTTTGGAAGGCTGAGGTGGGCAGATCACTTGAGGTCAGGAGTTCGACACCAGCCTGGCCAACATGGTGAAATCCTGTCTCTCAGAAAAATGCAAAAATTACCCAGCTGTGGTGGTGTGCGCCTGTAATCCCAGACTACTCGGGAGGCTGAGGCAGGAGAATCGCCTGAACCCGGGAGGCGGAGGTTGCAGTGAGCTGTGATCGCGCCACTGTACTCCAACCTGGGTGACAGAGCGAGACTCTGTCGCAAAAAAAGAATAAATAAATAAAAAAGAGGGAAGTCTGCTTTATAAATGACAAATAATTATACATTTATCTATACATGACAAATAGTTCCAGAGAGATCTCTCTCTTATTGACACCTTTTGCCTTTGTGACCAAATTTGATTCTACTTGAGATTTTTTTTCTGGAAATAGCAAGCTTCTGAAAATCCCTTGCACTGAAGAACAGGAGACACTTAAAAATATTTAAATATCCAGCAACCTGAAGAGTAAAAGAGCATTTGGCCCATGAACAATGAAGTTATCATTACTCAGTTCCTCTGAGGCCACCATCTGCCCCTATAGGCGAAACAATGTGGAGAGCAGGTAAAGATGTGAAGAGGCTGTCCCTGCTGGCTGAAAGCCACCCTGGGACTTCCCCTGACACTCTGAAGGGGCAGGGAGAGAGAACAATTTAGCAAATGCTCCATTTAGTGGGCTGATTACAGACCCAGAAATCCACAGTGGATAGACAGGGCCTAGCATGCTTCCACACAATGAGCCAGGAGTGAATCAGGTCCAAGCCACCCTCAGTGTGGTAGGCACAGCTGCTGCATAAATACCAAAAGACGATTAATCAAACACATTGTGAATATAACCAAGGTGTGACCAATTGGGTAAAAATTATGTTTACTTTAAAAGATTCATGATGAATTAAATCCAAGGTACATATGTACTTGTCTAGAAAACTAAATTGCTGTGCTAAATGCTTTGAGAGAACTTGGAATGAAAGTGACAATTTCCCTTCTCTCTTTGTGGAGAAAAGTGTGCATTAGAGCCATTATACGGCTTGCTGACTGTAATTTTCTTAAAAAATAAAACCAGATTAAAAATAAAACCAAATAAAAACATCTCCACCTGCAAGGTTCTAGGACTATCACACAAGGCTCCCGCCTGCCAGGTCAGAGCTCAGATTCCTGTATTGAAAAAACTGCTGCTAAATAGTTTTCAGCACCTCAGGTTTTAGTAAAGGGATTTCCTTTTCCAGTATCCCCACCCTGATGGTTTCACAGGTGTGAAATCCTCCACCAATTCTAGTTTCAGCCTCTTTAGGAAATGTTAATATGCTTCAAGGCCATGAACAGCTACCTTGAAGGGCTCCTTTGAGCAGACAAAAGAAACTTCTTAGGAGAAGTTAAAACACCCTGCACCGAAGGGAGGCGGGACAGAAGCAAAGGAAGCAACCTGCCTGGAGGCATGCTGCTCATTAACAGGTAGAAGAACCCAGCCCTGTCCAAGAATGCTGGAACGGCCCCTCGCCCCATCCTTTTCAACTCCAGTCTTTTTTTTTTTTTTTGATACGGAGTTTCGCTCTTGTTACCCAGGCTGGAGTGCAATGGCGCGATCTCGGCTCACCGCAACCTCCGCCTCCTGGGTTCAGGCAATTCTTCTGCCTCAGCATCCTGAGTAGCTGGGATTACAGGCACGCGCCACCATGCCAAGCTAATTTTTTGTATTTTTAGTAGAGACGGGGTTTCACCATGTTGACCAGGATGGTCTCGATCTCTTGACCTCGTGATCCACCCGCCTCGGCCTCCCAAAGTGCTGGGATTACAGGCGTGAGCCACCGCGCCCGGCTCAACTCCAGTCTTAAAGCTGTACAGAACTATCCACTTCCCAAGAGCAGCCCCTGCCTGCCTTGCCTGTGATTACCCAGGAGCGCTGCCCGGTGCTGCCAGCCCTTGGGAAAGAATGACAGTGGAGTGGGATGGCAGACCTGGAAGGGATTTCAGAAGACATTCGGGAAGGGGGTTGGTTCTAACTTGTGCTCCAAGGAGTCTAAGGTTTCTTATAGCACCACTGCTAGGGAGAGGTTCAGGTGGGACCCAGGAGTCCAGGCCATCCCGCCCCTCCCACAAGAGAAATTCTGCTTTCTGAGTTCTATATAATGTGGTTCCATGTGTGATGAAAAAAACAAAAAGGCTTCCTGAGCTTTAAGACTAGTGGGGCACCACTGGTCTCCTCTGGTCCTCTATCTCACAGTTGAGGAACAGGGCCTGGAGAGGTGGCATTTTGCTTCATGCCAGTCTCCTGTTCTCTCATTCTTTTCAGTGCCTCTGGCTATAGTGACACGTGTCACCTGCACTCACAAGAAGCTCTTCCTAAATACTGGAGACACACGAAGCCTCTTCCTTTGGTATATCCCTGAGAACACTGGCACTACTGTCTGTTCACTTGTCAGACTGTATGCCACCCTTGGGGAAAATAAGGTTATCCCATCTCTGCTTGCCAGTGAGGTTTCTCAGAGTGCTGCAGCTCTGCCACTGTTCTTGAGGTCCATTCTCTGCTGGCGAATGAGCCTGGGAGTGACCCTGCCACTCGATATTAACAAAAGCTCATAGCACTGGCTATCCAGGAAAACCAGCATAGCACATGAGTGGCTTCGGAGTGTCATAGCCCAGAGCTGGCCACGATGCCTACTACCCTGAAGCCTGAAGCAGCAGCTTGGAGCCTTGAGCCAGGAGTGGCCTGGAAGACCTCTCAAGGGCATGCCGGCCTTACTGACACAGCAGAGCCTCCATCATTCAGATGACGACTCTCAGAAGGCAAAGGGAGCTACTAAGCTGAACTCATCTGAAACTAAACCTGCTCAAAGAAGATGAAACTGGAGAGAGAAAACCTGAGCCCATTCCCAGTTCCTGCTTACAGGCTTCTCACTGTGACGGTTTAGCCAGCAGAAGCACTTTCTTCACAGAGTCTCACAGTAACACAGTCACAACATAAAGAAAGCACACTCCTGTTTCAAATAGGAATGCTAAAGTAATTCATTTTGGAAATAAAAGCCAAGACCTCGAATAAGGACAAAATCAGACATTTGCCTTCAACTATTTCTACTGCATAAGTAAATCAAAAGAATGAAGGCTCTGAGCTTGCCTCTTGCCAAAAATATTAAACTAGCAATTGGAAGAAAAACTCCATTCAAGGCAGGTTTTATTTTCCTTTAACCTGAAAGGAAACATCTGAAATAATTTTTATTTTGAAACTGGTGCTTAAACATTTTAATATACCTCTCTGGGTTTTGATGGATAAAGAAAGAAGTTTCAAGCACTATCTTTCACAAGGTTGCTAAGGAAACCGTTTATGCCCTGAATGATGAGTCAGAGCTGTTAAATGCCGGCTTATGAGACAGAAATTACAGAAATCAAGAATGGCTACATCTGTACAATGATTTATTAACATAAGCCATGTTAATAAATCATTTATTTCTCAGCAAGATCCTAGAGTGGTCCTTGGGGGTATATTCAGTTCCTAGGAATGTTGATTTTTTGGGTTAGGGGTTTATCTGGCCTATCTAGGAGATGCGTGCACATGCACACACACGCTAGCATGGTGCTGGGAAAGCCTGAAGGCTACACCCCCACACAGCTGCTCCAGCCCGCCATGCCTCTTGCACTGATCAGTTTGAAGCTGGTGTGTGGTTTAGGAAATATTCTAGCTTCTAGCTTCCATTTCAATCAATTCAATTCTCAAAGTTCTTCTTAAAGCTTTCTAGTCTCTTCAAATAGACTCCAAATCATCCATCTAAGAACCTAGAGAACAGAAAACTTCAAAGTTTGCTGCCATCATCTTTCTGGGGGTACAGTCCCTTCTGCCAGGAGACCCAGAAAACCTCAGACAGAAATAACCATACTCAGAGTGACATACCTTCAGGTCCAGCTCAATAAACACCCATTCCAATCCTCAGGAGTGTAAGACTCCACACTTAGAAGACCAGAAAGGAGACAGCCGTAGGCGAGTTTTAAAGGCCCTACAAGCTGTGGCGAGTACACCAACTTTTCCATGTGGTCACATAAAGGTCTGGATGACACACAAACGTACAGGCTTGATAGGTATTCAGGACTTGGTACACAGAGACTGAATTTTAGAGACTGAAGACATTTATAGTCTGGAATTCGGAGAGCAAAACAGAAGGCTGTATGAAGTCAGGAGGGTCTGGAACGTTCTGAAGGTGTGCGGATAGACTTAGACTGCTGGACTGAAGAAGCAACTGTATGTTTCCTTTTAGGGTGTGATGATGACAGTGACCACTACAGGCAGTTTCTCTGAGTGAAGAGCACACCATGTAGGGCCCAGAGGTTTGCTGGACACGGTCACTAGCAAACGAGGCCATTTCTGAGAAGAGGAGGAACCTCTGGAAAGAAGACACTAAAGCCCTTATGGAAAAAGTTCTAGCTTTCCACAGGAGCCACAGGTGTCTCTGCAGAGTTTCTAAGAAGCCGTATCACCTAAGTGATGTTCAGGGAATCATGCACTCTGAGCAGGATACAGTAGAAGAATCAACAGCGGTAGGGTTAGGACCAGGTTAACAGAAACCATGACTAATGAGACGTGGCTGCAGGGACAGAGCATTGTCAAGCACTGTGGACCAGTTATCGGGGAAAGGGGATGATAGCAGGCAGTGAGACTCAGTGAAGAGCAGTAGTAATGAACACTTTCTGGAAAGTGTGACTATGGTTAACAGCCCCATCAGGTCTGGCTTGTTTCTAATTGCCATCTACCCTGAACTCTGTCTTGTACCTTAAAATTCTTCTGTGATTCAGGAGTTGGGCTTTCAAGGTCGATCAGTTTCTTTAGATCTTCTTCAATGGTGGACTTGGAGGTTGGCTTAGGAGATGCCCGGAGGTCTCTGGTTGAGGCACGCAGCCTGCTATGGGCTATTTCATTGCCATCACTCTGGTGACGCCTGAAAAGAAAGGGAAGAGAAGATAGATACCAAGTCAACAAGGTTGACTCAGACACGATGGGCTCTCAAGGATGTAAGTCAATTGAGAAGTATTATGTGGAGAAACAGATAATTAGTTCTGTTTATATCAGAATCTACTCATATAAATGCTTACTGAAGAAACAAACCCAATTTGAAACACAAAATAAAATCTGATGAATAAGTCATTCTTTTAAAGAAAGCTATTAGTTTTACTAAGCCAAAATTACCAACAGACTTACTAAAAGACCACAGAGTATACATCCAAAATGCAAACTTCGCATAAACAAAAACAAACTAATTGACTCATTTAATTTTTTACTGTACTACCTTGTCAAAAAGGCCTTTATTTTCAGGGGTACTCACTCACTTTCTAATATTCCCTCTGGTGCCTACTGGCCTAGTTAAGAATTACATGGGAAGGCCGTGATTCATATAATCAAAGGTTGGATTAGTATGGTCTTAGCACTAGAGGGGCAATTATTCTGAAGCGTATCCTTCAAACACACCCTTTTCAAGACGTAAGATTCCCAAATCCTAACATTTTGCAACACATCTTATCTAAGGAATGAGGCAGAGAAATAATTTAAGAAAATTTTACTTAGGAAAAAAAATAATCCCACCAACAGACCAACTCCTCCCAACCCCCTGGTTGTAAGAGATCACTCCACACTTTTCTGTTGTCATGTTAAAAGCGAGCCACCAGCAAGGAAGCAAAATAACTCTTACTTTCTCGTGTCCATAAATCCCACAGAATTTATGGTTCCTTCAGGTTTTTTCCATCCAATTAGGTACTTGCTAGTAGCGCCCTGGCGAGGGTAAAAACTTCTAGGACCAGAGGAGGAGGAGGAGGAGGAGGAGAAGGACGGGGCGAGCTGCGAGGAGGCGGCTGGATGAAGCTCTTCTTTAGGTGAACTGCGGGCACTGGTGAAAACCACTGGGCTGGCAGAGTGTCGGGAGCTCATGGTACTGAGGAGAAGCAGGGCAAAGACGTGTACATCAGGACCATTATGTCAGCTATAAAAGTGTTCTTCAGGGTATAGGTGATGGTTGGGTTGAACAGGAGAGAATTTTTCCTAAAATATTAACAGTGATGGCTGGCTGGCCTTCCTGGCTTTCTCACTATAATTTAAATATCTGCTATCAAAATGACAGATGGCCACTAGGGCTTAGTCTGCACTTTAAGTTAAAAAGTAAAAATAGTTAAGACTATCAGGGACACGTTCAAACACATTGGCACCACTGACGTTTGTCACTGGGGAGTTTGGCAGTGGCAAGAGACAGGAGAAACAGAAGTGAAAGGTCTAGTCATCTCCATGTCTCTGTCTTGGTTTCCTCACAACTAGGGATTGTGGTGACACTCTCTAGGACCAAGCTGAGGAGGGGAGAGGACACCGAATCAGGGATCTGGCTCTTCAGACTCACATCCAAGGCCAGTGGGCACAGTGAGAGCTCCCTCCCCATGGTAGCTGACGTTTATATCAGTTCTAGAAGCTGCTCATCAACATATTTCAAACATTGGTTAAAGATTACATAATTAGGTCCAGGCATGGAGGCTCACGCCTGTAATCCCAGCACTTTGGGAGGTTGAAGAGGGTGGATCTCCTGAGGTCAGGAGTTCGAGACCAGCCTGGCCAACATGGTGAAACCCTGTCTCTACTAAAAGTACAAAAATTAGACAAGTGTGGTGGTCGGCGCCTGTAATCCCAACTACTCAGGAGGCTGAGGCAGGAGAATCACTGGAACCTGGGAGGCGGAGGTTGCGGTGAGTGGAGATTGCGCCATTGCATTGCAGCCTGGGTGATAGAGGGAGACTCTGTCTCAAAAAAAAGATTACAAAACTGAAATCTACGTGACTAAAGAGTCCAAAACTCAGGGGTTTCAAGAGTTCCGGAACAGAAAAGGGCAGGATTTTCAAAATAAGGGATGAGAGTTTTAGACTAAAACTTGAGTTAAAGGTAGAGGGCTTTTCATTGCAGGATTTCCATACTTGCTGCCCAGTGGTCTCACAGGACCACACTATTTGAGTCTTTCTGAGTTCTCCAGCATGAGGTGAGACCAAAGACAGCTAACTCTTACTACAATGGACTTTCAGTTATTTTTACTTGAGGTTTATTTAACAATATGTGATCCCAAAGCATTCTTCAATGGCACTTTCATTTGTCAAAAATGAATGGTACTGACCTAAATAAAGCATGGACTTTAGTTAATGATATTGTATCAATATTGATGCTTGGGAAACCCTTGGGGAGGAAGACAGCTGAATAGAACCCTCTAACAAATGGCCCTCCACAGGAACACCAAATTGAACAACTATCCACACAAAGAAGCACCTTCATAAGAACCCAAAATCAGGTATGCAATCACAGTACCTGCTTTTCACACCATATCAAGGAAAGAGGCACTGAAGAGGGTGGGAAAGAGGGTCCTGCATCGTCTACGCCCGCCCACCCCCACCTCTGGCACACCAGCTTGGAGAGAGAATCTGTGCACGTTGGCGAGGGAAAGGGTGTGGGACTTTGCATTGGAACTCACTGCTGCCGTGTCACAGCACAGCACAACACGGAGCAGAATTCTGCTGGTACCCATGGACAGAGCATTTCGATCAGCTCTGGGCCAGAGGAGAATCCTCAACCAGAGTGGGAGGAAGCAGAGTCCTAGCTGGTTCTGCCACCATCTAACCAAGGTGGCCTGGGGTCCTGAATAAATAAAAGTGGCAGTCAGGCTACAGGGACTGCAGTCCTTGAATAAGCCCTAGAACTGCGCTGGCCTAGGAGGAAGTGGACTTGGGGTGCACATGACCCCGTGTGACACCAGCTGTGGTGGAAAAGGGAGTGCCTGTACCACCAGTCCTCCAATTCCAGGCAGGGCAGCTTGGGGAGAGGCTCCTTCCACTCGGGGAAAGGAGAGGAAAGAGCACAGAGGACTTGGTCTTAAAACCTGAGTGGCAGCTCAGCCACAGGCAAATAAAGCAGGAAGAATCCTGAAGCCCTCAATTCCAGAACTTTGCTCCTGAATGGCTTTCCAGGTCCACCCAGGGGTCTGGAAGAGAAGGCCAGAAGAGAGTCTGGTGCCCTGAAGGGAAAGACCCAGACCCAGGAGGATTCACTACCTACTAATTGGCCCCTGGGCTTTAAGTAAACATTGGTGATAGCCAGGCAGTAGTCACCATGGGCCTTGGGTAGGACCCAGTACTGTGTTGTCTTCAGGTCTGAACTTGTGCAGTGCCAGCTAGGGTGGCTATGGGGGTGCTTGAATCACCTTCTCCAACTCCATGCAACCCAGCACAGAGGCAGGGTCCTTCTGAGAGGGAAGACAGTGAGACTGCCTAGCAACCCAGAGATTCTCCCTATCTTGCCCAAGCCCATCAAAGCAGTGTGTCTTGGAGTTGGTGAGAGTCATACCGTTCCTGATCTTAGGGCGCTCCCTAGTGCTGATACATCTGCAGCCACCACAAGCTTATATCACAACAATCTCATCTAAATGTGTGGAAAGCCTTCTCCAGACGGACGAGTACAAACAAGCTCAGGTTGCCAAGACTGGAATAAATACCTTACTCTCCAATGCCCAGACATTGATGAATGTGCACAGGCATCAAGAACATCCAGGAAAACACAACCTCATCAAATGAACCAAATAAGGCACCAGTGACCAACCGGAGAGTGACACAGAATTCAGACAGAGAATTCAAAATGCCTGTTGAACTTTAAGAAAGTTCAATAAACTTCAAGATACCACAGAGAAGGAATTCTGAATTCTATCAAAAATTAACAAAGAGATTGAAATAGTAATTTAAAAATAAAGAATTTTCAGAGTTGAAAAATTCAATTGACAAACTGAAAAATGTATCAGTTTCTCAACAGTGGAAGTGATCAAGCAGAAGGAAGAACTAGTGAGCTCAAAGAGAGGCTACATGAAAATACATGGTCAGGCCAGGCGCGGTGGCTCACGCCTGTAATCCCAGCACTTTGGAAGCCTGAGGTGGGTGAATCATGAGGTCAGGAGCTTAAGACCAGCCAGGCCAAGATAATGAAACCCCATCTCTACTAAAAATACAAAAATTAGCCAGGCGTGGTGGCAGGTGCCTGTAGTCCCAGCTACTCCGGAGGCTGAGGTGGAGAGTTGCTTGAACCCGGGAGGCAGAGGTTGCAGTGAGCTGAGATGGCGCCACTGCTCTCCAGCCTGGGCGACAGAGCATGACTCCAACTGAAAAAAAAATAGAGGAGAAAAAAGAAAAAAAAGGTGAATGAAACATGCCTACAAGATTTAGAAAACAGCCTCAAAAGGGTAAATCTTTTTTTTTTGAAACAAAATCTCATTCTGTCACCCAGGCTGGAGTGCAGTGGGAGTATCTTGGTTCACTGCAACCTTCACTCCTGGGTTTTCTGCTTCAGCCTCACAAGTAGCTGGGATTACAGGCGCACACCACCATGCCTGGCTAATTTTTGTATTTTTAGTAGAGATGAAGTTTCACCATGTCGGCCAGGCTGGTCTCAAACTCCTGACCTCAAGTGCTCTGTCCACCCTGGCCTCTCGAAATGCTAGGATTATAGGCGTGAGCCACTGTGCCTGTCTAGTCAAAAGGGTAAATCTAAGAGTTACTGGACCTAGAGAAAACGTAGAGAGAGAAAGAGATTGGGGCACAAAGTTTATGCAAAAGAATAACTCAATTTCCCAAACCTAGAGAAAGATATAAATATCCAGGTACAAGAAGGTCACAGAACTCCAAAAAGATTCAACCCAAATAAGACTACTTCAAGGCATATATTAATCAGACTCTCAAAGGTCAAGGATAAAGAAAGGATATCTAAAAGCAGTAAGAAAAAAGAAGGAAATAACACAAAAAGGAGCTCTAACACATCTGGCAGCAAGCTTCTCAGTGGAAACCTTACAGGCCCACAAAGTGTGGGACAACATATTGAAAGTGCTAAAGGAATATTGATTCTCCAGCTATGAGAAATGTACTACACTAATGTAAGATGATGCCAACGGGAGAAACCTGGTGAATGGTTTATGGGAACTCTATTTTTGCAACTTTTCTGTAAATAAAGAACTATTTTGATATTTAAAAAGTCCTCAGATAGGCCGGGCACGGTGGCTCACGCCTGTAATCCCAGCACTTTGTGGGCTGAGGCGAGCAGATCACTTGAGGTTGGCAGTTTGAGACCAGTCTGGCAAACATGGTGAAACCCTGTCTCTACTAAAAACACAAAAATAGCTGGGTATGGTAGTGAGCATCTGTAGTCCCAGCTACTCAGAAGGCTTAGCCAGGAGGATCGCTTCAACCTGCGAGGCAGAAGTTGCAGTGAGATGAGATCAATAAACACAGGTGCTCAAATCATCAGTTACCAGGAAAATGCAAATTAAAACCACAATGAGGGACCACTACACACCTACCAGAATGGCTAAATTAAAAAGACTTATATACTATCAAGTGCCAGAAAGGATGTGAAGCACTAGAGCTCTCATCTCATACACTGCTGGTGGGAGTGCTACTTGTTACAACCACTCTGGAAAACTACTTCAGAGGCTCTACTAAGTTGAACATATGTATGTTTTATGACACAGATATTGTATTCCTAGAAACTCAAAAGAAACACATACGTATGTGTACCAAAGGACATGTATGAGAATTCTTAGTATCAGCTGGGTGCAGTAGTACCCAGCTCACACCTGTAGTACTTTGAGAGGCCAAGGTGGATGGATCACTTGAGCTTGAGTTTGAGATCAGCCTTGGCAATATGGCGAAACCCTGTTTCTATGAAAAAATAAAGAAATTAGCCAGGTGTGGTGGTGTGTGCCTATAGTCCCGGCTACTTGGGGGGCTGAGGCAGGAGGATCGCTTAAGCTCAGGAGGTTGAGGCTGCAGTGAGCCAAGTTCACAGCACTCTACTCCAGTCGGGATGACAAAATGAGATACTGTTTCATAAAAATAAAAAGAAGAAAAAGAAAAAAAATATTCTGGGCCG